GCCCCAAGGAGCCTAACCACTTCAGACCTGTTGCCTTGACCTCCCACCTGATGAAGACCATGGAGAGGATCATCACACACAGCTGGACCCCCTGCAGTTTGCTTACCAGCCTGGTATTGGGGTGGACGACGCAGTAATCTACCTGCTGCACAGATCCCTGCTACACCTGGAGGACAGTGGGAGCACGGTGAGGGTCATGTTTTTTGACTTCTCCAGTGCTTTCAACACTATCCAGCCGTCACTGCTCAGAGTGAAGATGGAAAGTGTGGGAGTGGACTAACACCTGGCTGCATGGACAATAGACTATCTCACCAACAGACCACAGTATGTGAGTCTCCATCACTGTGTGTCTGACGTTGTGCTCTGCAACACAGGTGCCCCTCAGGGTACGGTGCTCTTCTCCCTTCCTCTTCACCCTTTACACCTCGGACTTTACCCACAACTCCACACTCTGCCACATCCAGAAGTTCTCAGATGACACAGCCATTGTTGGATGTGTTTCTGGGGGGGAACAAACTGGAATACAGGACAGTCATCAGGGAGTTTGTCAGCTGGTGTGAGCTCAACCAGCTTCAGCTAAACACTAGCAAGACGAAGGAGATGATTGTTAACTTCAGGAGAAAAACATCCCACTTCACACCGGTGAACATCCAGGGATTAGACATTGAGGTGGTAGAGAATTATAAATTCCTGGGTGTTCAATAACAAACTGGACTGGACTGACAACACCCATGCTCTCTACAAGAAGGGCCAGATTCGCCTCCACCTGCTGAGGAGACTGAGGTCCTTTGGAGTAAGCAGGGCTCTCCTCAAGACTTTTTATGACTCTGTGGTGGCTTCAGCCATCTTCTATGCTGTGGTCTGCTGGAGAGGGGGCAGTATGGACAGGGACAGGAAGAGACTCAATAAACTGATCAGGAGAGCGAGCTCTGTCCTGGACTGTCCTCTGGAGTCCATAGAGGAAGTGGGTGAAAGGAGGATGTTAGTGAAGCTGACATCCATCACGGACAACACCTCTCACCCCCTACATGACACTGTGGGGTCCCTGAGTAGCTCCTCCAGCAGCAGACTGTTACACCCACGGTGTAAGAAGGAGAGGTTCCGCAGGTCTTTCATCCCTGCCGCTGTCAGACTCTACAACACCTGATCAATGTTGTAGTTTCTGTTTTTTGAAATTACCACCATACCATAGCCTTTTTTTTTATATCTGTATTTATTTATTTCACGTAATTGCTGCTATGACAAGGGAATTGTGGGATTCTGTAACAAGAATTTGAGGTGTTGTAAGTTTGTGGATTAATATCCAACATCTATTTTGAACCGGTAAATATTTTTTGGGTTTCTGGATGAAATCTTTAAGGTAGAATATTTGTATTTAAAGGTCAATCAAATCTGAAATTAGTGTTTCTTTTAAAAATACACTGCAAAACCAGTATCTTTTTTTAAAATAACTGCCATTAACCATTATAAATTAGAACAAAACAGTGAACAGTGGGACTATTTCTAGTTTGAAATACGCTCAACTTGCTCAAAATATGTATATTTTAGTTCCCTAAGTATCGCTAATGGATCATATATCCTATTTATTCCTGCCCTTCTGTCCAATTGTCCTTTTATTTATTTATTTTGCTTGGTTTCCTCTTGTGTGATACAAGTTTTGTCACCTGTATTAATAAAAACCCCAAACAAACCATAAGTCTGAGCCTCTACTTGCAGTGAGGAGTGAAGCAAATGTTTTTTTTTTTCTTTTTGCTTTGACCACAGGTGAAACAGAAAACTTTACAGTAGCGAGACGCGAGCTATTTTAAGCCGTGCTGGAGCAGCAGAACTTACAGTGAAGGTACTCCGCCAGGTCGCCTCCATTGCAGTACTGGAAAGAGGCGGGAAAGATAAAGTATTAACCGAAGGCTCTAAATTTGCATCGAAAAAACAAACTTCACCTCGTCCAACTCACCTCCATGACGAGATACACGCACCCTCCCATTTCCTGTCAGGAGAAAGCAGATAAAATGCAAATTAATGCAATGGAATAGTAACTGACACCAACGCCGAGTATCAGATTGAACTGATCTTTAATGAACATGTCACATTTATTTCATGCAGAGATGCTGAATTATGACATTAATGTCTCAGCAGCAGGTTACAGTGACAGCAGTCTTGACTCTTTTTGTTGGCCGGTCACCAGCGGTGCTTCTAGAAACTCTGGGTCCGCTGATTATTACCTAACTCGTGGCCCTTATCCAGCCTTAAGCCCCTCCACACCCTCACCCTGCATCCCCAATTTGGCTGCCCCACTTCACTGCCACCGAAAAGGTCAGTGAGCGGTGAGGTTGACAGTGAGAGGGTGAGACACGTAGGGTGTCGGGCCTGTGTATTGGGGTGAAACTTAAGTGCTACAACTGTAAAATGTAAATGTATAAATAAATATATAACACCTTGTGGCTATAAAGACGCTGTCAGATAATAGAGACTGCAGCTGGTGTCAGTGCCAGCCTGACCTTACAGTCTGCGGCTTTAAGCCATTGTTTAAGCGGCTGCCATCTGTCTGAAATAGATCAGCTCACACCTGTCTGGCTGTCTGGCAGGTGTCGGTAAGGCGAGAAGCGCACACACACACACACACACACACACACACACACACACACACACACACACTCAAAAACAAGCAAATGGTTAACATCCTGCGCTGTGTATGTGTGTGTGTGACCTCTTTAAAATGATGTTTATTTAGGCTATGACATGCAATAAAACACCATGTTCACATTAGAATGCTACACAAAAACAAAATAAATCACTTTCCAGGACCTTTCCAGGACATTTTTCCAGGAGTTTTCTAGACAATACAGATGATATAATTTACCAGTAGGTCAAATATTAACACATTTAGTTGTATTCCTCTTTTTTTTTTAATGATACAGTGTTCACAATACACGCTATGCACAAATTTATTAACCACAATTCTGCTTGCAGACCTGGAAAAAATGGCCTCAATGCTGAAAAGATCGCTTTAAACCTGAATATTACACTTTATTGTAATGATCATTATGATTATTATCCCTATACTATCATAACAGTAGTTGTTTATTATATGATTATTATCACTTTATATGTATAGTCTATAATAATTTAAACTTTTGGACTGTTTTATGTTTTTTTTTTTCTTATTATATGAATGTCAGCTCACTTTAATGTCACAAAATATCACCAATGTACCATGTAAATAAATATGTAGGCGATCAGACTGAGAGGGGTTCGAATGCAATTTAAATTTTCCAGGACAACATAGATTATTTCCAGGATATTTAGTTTCCAGGTGTTTTTCCAGGCCGTTACATTTAAATATTCCCAAATGAAAACATTAAACTACAGATTTCCGGTCATTCAGGTTTTGCAAGCTCGGTGTAAAACTACAACATCCAACAGCTGTGATCACATGAGCACAAGAGGTTAAGTGTTGCTGCAACATGTGTGTTTACTGAGTGTGTGTGTGTGTGTGTGTGTGTGTGTGTGTGTGTGAGAGAGAGAGAGAGAGAGAGAGAGGAAAACAAACCTGATAGTCAAGCAGTCGAACAATATTCTCATGTTTGAGCTCCTGGAAGAGGTGGGAAAATATAGATTTTAGTTTTAAAAAAGATGCACAAATAGACATTAACACAATTTAAGAAAGCATTAAAAAACTTATTACCTTTAATATTTTGATTTCTTTACCAAGCAGAGCCTGAGATTTGGCCAAGTTCTTCTTGTTGATGCACTTCACAGCAACCTCCCAGTCTCGTTTCTTGAAAAGGTAAATAAATAAATAAATAAATAAATGTAAACACAGCAGCCTTACCGATACTCAGATCCAGGTACATATCGATCTGTCTCACCTCTTTATGTCTGCCTTTGAACACAACCGCGAAGGCACCGTGGCCAATCAGATCCTTCCTGTTGAACTCAAACTTCCCGACAGACTCCATGATAGAAAACTAAAACTATATTATTAAATATTATTATTTAAAAGTGTTCAAGAGGGTCGATTCTCCAACCGTGAGGTCCCGCGACGCTTCCCTCGCGCCGGTAAATCCCATTTCATTCATGCACAACGCCGCCTTCGCACGTGGCAAGCGTCGGAACCGAGGTAAACACCGATGACAACATTGTTTCTGTCAACGCGAAAAAAAAAAAAAAGTTCAAAACAGTGTGTTAAAAACTAAATCTTATTATTATTATTATTATTATTAACGACCCTCCTTCAACGCGTTACGTCCAGCTGCGTCTCTAGAACCGGTAGAAGTGTTAAACTGACGTTAGTGTTGTTTATCTGTTTGTATTCACACACTGAGCTCACGTATTATTGTCTTCTTCACCTTTCTACGATGCTGCTTATTCATATCTCACGGTGCGCATGCGCAAAACAGGGGCTGGCAGCTGTTTGGACGGTGGCGCGTTCAGGGTCACCTCGTAAACTCGTAATTCGGTGGCTCAATTTGGCTTGGGTTTATTTTTAAATAGTGTTATGGTCAACTGTACCTTGGCTTTTGCTTTGTTTTTTTGCTCTGGTTGCAAATACATATAAGCTGCTACCATGTAAGGCTTACTTTTCACTCACTTAATGACTTACATACATCAGTAATAGCCTAATTTTACACATAATCCATGTTGATAAAGACACAGAAAAATAAAAATGGATGGCAAAAACAGAATATTGTCAGTATTTTAGTATTAGTATTGTTAGAGAGTCCCCTAAGATTTAACAAAATGTGTTTTTATGCGAGCTCATGTTATGGAGGCTGGTGTATTTACTTTCTGCGAGTCTTGAAATATTAAAACAGCTGGATAAGACAGGATAAATTGTATTAAGATGTGTCTTAAGATTTATATATATATATATATATCTGTCAGTAGACAATGTTACACACTGGACCTTTAAGTTAGCTAATGTTTAATTAACTTATAGATATTGTATTATAAATATTGATTAAAAAACGTACAACGAAACACCTACAACGAATACAACATATTGGTAAAAATCATTTAATAAAGATCACACGGATTTCTTGTCCTTAACATTTTTTATAATAAAGATAATTGGAAGCACAAACAATAGTACCATAAAAGACAACAATCATTTAAGGCAACAAGCACAGAAATACTGAAATATTTAAACTTTAAAATCTGACATGAAAAGTGAGCGCAGAGTGACTTACAGTAAATCCTGTCTTTTAGGAAACGTAATGTTGGTACAGTGTAAGATCAATGACATCTTAAAAAAATACGTCATCTCCCTCCATTCTCACAGTATGTTAAGGAAAAAAATAATAATGATCAAGTCCCTCTGTTGCAGAACATTACTTCATATTTAAGTGTAACAAAAAAAAATTTAAAAAATGGATGAAAATGTAAAAAGAAATAACTAAAAGACACCGTAAAGCTTCACAGAATTGTGTCCAGAATCACAACCAGTATTCACTATTCCTCAGAAAAGCATAACATACCACAAATACACCATTCAGTTCATTTTAAAGGAGGAGAGAGAGAGAGAGAGAGAGAGAGAGAGAAATAACACACAAACAAGAGTTTTAACATACTGATTTGTTGAGCCGTGACACAGAAGACATGATACAGAACTCACAAAATAAATAAATACATTACATCTGAATTACATACGGGATTTAATTCACTGCTACACTGCTAGTTGTAGTGTTGCGCCGTCCCCCAAAAGTTGGATTAAAGCTGCATGAATCGGACGAATCTCGGAGAATTCATCCAGGTAAAAGAAGCAAGTAGGGTTTTTTGTTTTCTTTGTGATTTTAAACACTTTATTTAAGGGAAATATATTGTTTTTTCTTGGTCTTTTTCTATCCGAGTTTATGTACACTGTAAAACCTGACGAGTAGAAGTAAGTCAAGTGTTTATTGTTAAGGTAACTTCAGGGTAAATTAAGTTAATTTGTACTAATTAATAATAATTAACCATTCAGTTAATCCAAACTTATTTAAAATGTGTGAATTTATCTGATTAAAGTCACTTAAATGCATCTTTTTTATACAAATGTTAAGTTGAATTTACTCAATTTTCTTCCACTAAAAGCAAATTATTACATTACCTGTCAAAACAGCTCATGCACAAGTTATAATTAATTGATTGTTAAAATTAATTTTCTGTTTTTTAATGTGACAAACATGAAATCTTTACACTTTGGGGTGATCATTAAGGATTATTTGGTTGCATACTTGGGTTTATGACGATAAATAAACTGAAAATATAAATCCTGAGCTATACAGCATTATAATGTTTATATTTATATAATTATATAAAGTCTACTTCAAGAAAATGAGTCAGTGGAACAAACTGGAATTAAATCACCTGTATTTAAGTCCATTAAAACAACTGAGTTGCTTCAACAATTAATTTTTTAGTTTAATTTATGTAGATTAGTTTATATTAACTTAGTTATGTGTTGTCAGGTTTTACAGTGTACCCAACCATACCCTAAAAATACTTATCTTAATTTTTAATATGTTACATTTTCAACAAGTGAATTAAATAAGATTTTATTAAGTGAGGAAAAATTACAGGTCAAAACATTCCTCTTTGATTTAATGGAAAAATGTGACATTTTAGGAAATAAGCTTATTTGTGTGTAAATATGAAGCTGTAGCCATCAGCAGATTACCTTAGCATAGTTTAGCACGGATTCATTTCAGATTAAATAAATGAGAGATAACACAGTTGATTAAATGGGCTTTAGCTGGCCCGGATCTACCATATGGGCAGTCTGGACGAGCGCCCAGGTGGTGGGTGATGGCGTGCTATGCTATGTGCCAAACTTGGCCATATTTCGGGGGGGAACTGCTGCTGCAAAAGACAGAAAAAAACGAAGATAGAGAGCAGAAGTCGGGGAGAAATAATTAAGAATTTGTTACAAACAGCGGTTCACAAAGTTGATTAAGTTTCCCCAAATGCAACAACTCATAAAACTCAATGATTTTCTAAGGGAGTCTGGTACTTTCTACCCCAGCGACAATTTTACTGCCGAAAATTTGACTTCTTCCAGAAAATAGCTTCAGAAAAAAAGAGGCCAGGCTAGCTGTTTCCCCCCGTTTCCAGTCTTTGTGCTAAGCTAAGCTAACTAGCTGCTGGCGGTAGCTCCATACGTAGCGTACAGACATGAGATTGCTATCAATCTTTTCATCTAACTCTCAGAAAAGAAAGCAAATAAGCTCATTTTCCAAAATATTACACTACTCTGTTAAATAAACCAGTTAGTAAATCAACTGATGGACAATGCAACAGACAAATGGAGACGCTCCACCTCACAGACTGCCACTGACAGACCCTGAACTACACTCTCTGTCACTTCACTGACCTCCTCGGAAATCCCTGCTCTTGTTTTTTTGGGGACACAATATGTTTTATGAGACAATAATAAGGCACAGTCCTCAGAGTCTGTTTGTCTTTTAAAAAGATATTATTCAGCTACTCAACACCTCCTTTTGGTGTCACTTTCACTTGAGCGGATGAGTGTCCAATTCGTTACGTAACATAGTGGGAAGAATAATCTGGCCAGTGTTTGTCATCCTGCACTAGTGAGCTTCAGATGTTGCTCTCCTGGCCGCAGACAGAAGCGACGGTGTGCGGTTCTACACGGCGGAGAGGTCGATGCGATTGGCTGAGTTGGTGCTTTTGTCCCATGTGTTCATCTTGGTGGGAGTCACGCCCTCTTTGTTTCCATTCATCTGGAGGATGTGGGAGGGAGAGTGTCAGAGTCAGGCAGTTAGGAGCTCATTTCTGTTTTAGCAAATCTTTATGGAAGCTTGTTTCCGCCAATGTGATGGGGGAAAAAAAGGATTCTGTGAAACATTATAATGAGAAACTCTCAAAATATTGACTTAGCATCTAAAAAGTCATTATTTTAGATACTAAGTCAAAATATTGACAAAGTTTCTTATTATTTTGAGAAACTAAGTCATTATTTTGAGATAATAAGTCAATATTTTAAGATACTAAGTAATTTTTTAAAGATATTAAGTCATTATTTTGAGATAATAAGTAATTATTTTTAGATAAGTCATTATTTTGAGATAATAAGTAATTATTTTAGATACTAAGTCATTATTTTGAGATTTGAAGTCATTATTCTGAGATAAGTTGTTATTTTAAGATAATAAGTCAATATTTTGAGATACTAAGTCATTATATTTGATAAGTCATTAATTTGAGAAAGTTTCTAATTATAAGGACTTATCCTTTTTTTTTTTTCTCCGTCACTATTGGCAGAAATGAGCTTCCATAAAATCTTCATGTATCACTCACAATGTCAGAGTTGAATGGCTTCACATTGATGTTTCGGATGGAGCTGCTGGTGAGAGACCACACCTTGGTTTTATGTTTGAAAGCAGCTCTGACCTACAGAAAGAAATACAGACATTAATCCTCCAAAAACATTAGTCACTCATTCACATGTATTAAACATGACTTTATTTCATTATAAAACAGTAAACATTATAATTTTAGTTCATAATTCAGTTTAGTAATCATCGTAAACCCAAATATGTATCCAAATAATCCTTAATGTGTAAAGATTTTATGTTAGTTGCATAAAAAAACTGAAAGTTAATTGGCTACCATTTTAATAATCAATTAATTATAACTTGTACATCGGCTGTTTTGACAGGTAATGTAATAATTAGCTTTTAGTGGAAGAAGACTGAGTAAATTCAACTGAACATTTGTATAAATAAGATGCATTTAAGTGACTTTATTCAGATAAATTCTGTTCACACATTTTAAATAAGTTTGGAGAAATGCTGAAGATGAGAGTAACTTCAATTAACTGAATGGTCAAACTTAATTTACCCAAAATTATCTTTTAAGTGAGTTCTTTTCTAATGCAGGACGAGGTTGTTTAGCAAAGAGTGAGAGTAGAAATACAGATATTTGTGTGTAAAAAGTAGTGAATCAACTTCTTTACGTACAAACTGTCAAATGTACTTACAGCATAAAAGTAAAAAGTACTCTTTTGGTTTCTCTGAAGGATATTTCTACCGGCTATTTCTGCGCTAAGATAACTGAAACGTTAAAATTTAGTCTCTTGTCCGTTTCATATTGTTACATCTTTTACATAATTTTGTAATTTTGTCTTGATGTTTGGATGGTGTGTAATGACGCAAACATCAAAGTAAGGAGTGGAAAGTACAGATATTTGTGTAAAAATAATAAATAAATACTAGTAATAGTAAACTACAAGTGCAATAATGAAGAATTTGTTTGCGTGTGTTCATGTGTTCAAGGTTTAGACCTTAGATAATAATAATAATAATAACTTTAAAAATAACTATTTCATTTAGTTTAATGTTCAGAAATGAACGAAAAGCTGAAATATAGGCCTACTGTATATTTTTAAACAGTTTTCTTACACCCTTTAAAATCTAGAAGGCCTTGTGACCCCTCATGGAGGTCGGGACCCCTCGGTTGGGAACCAGTACTTAAGTGCATGGACAGTTCACTCCCACAAGATCAAAACATTAAAACACCAAATTTAACATATTTAGCATCTTACCTCAGAGTTGAGAAGACAGTGAAACAAGAAGACAAAGAAACCCTAAAGAAAAAGAAAAAGAAGAACTTTAGTGAAGATTTTTCACAAATGGCTGCAAAGAAAACATCAAGTGGAGAAGAACTTACTTGTAACGAGTTGAATACAGCAAAAATATATAAGAACGCCAATGAGTGTGTGTTGACGGCAAGAACGCCAAAGATCCAGGAGATGCCGAGAATAGGAAGGAGCACAGCCACTGCTTTTACGGTCAACCTTGAAACAAGAGCGAGAAACAACCGTTTTATTATTAGCTTTTAATAAGAGAACGAGACTGTAAAACCGTGATGAGTTCAACGCAAACTGGGGAAACCGATCGTCTTAAACCGTCTATTAAAGATATGAAAGATATTAGATTTGAGTGGAAGTAACTCAAGGCGTTTATTGTTGAGGTAACTCAGGTACAAATAAACTCACTTGACTGCATTGGCATCTCCGTGGACCTTGTAACTCTCTCCGCTGATTCGAGATATGATCCTGGTCACAGATATCAGAATGCCAATGTTCACCTGGAAATCAAGAACGGACGTTTAACACGGTGGCACAGGAAGGAGGTTTAGTCTCTTTCCTCCATGAATACAACTTTAAAATGAATACAGATTAAATATAAGACCACATTATTCAGCTTTAAGACGCTGCACTGGCTGCCTGTGTCATTTAGAATTCATTTTAATGTTATTTTACTCATTTATAAACCTTTAAATGACCTTGCTCTTCCATATATATAAGATTTTCTTCCATTTTTTAGGTTCCAGCCAGATCACTGAGGTCCTCCTCCTTACTGTGTGTGTCCCATAAAAGTACTCTTCTGTGTTTATGCCCCCTTCATTGAATTTATAACATGAAAATCGTTGTACTACAGGCACTACAGACAGGGGTTCATGTGTATAACACAAACTATATTAGATGTTAGACCAGACATTTCTTTTTAATCTGGATTATTGGAGTCTGGAGCTTTGCAAAATGTTATTTTATTGTTTATTTTTAGTTTCAATGTTGCTACGTGAAGCACTTCGGGCTGCATATCTTCCTCTCAGCACTGTGTTTCAGAGGCTTTAGTGGGTTTTGAAGCTAGAGTGAAGATACTGGTATCATCTGAAACTAGATGAACTAACGCATCATTTGATACCAACTAAATAGGAGGATCAAAAACGCTCCAAATTTAGGCTTAAGCTTGCTGATAGAAAAACTGGCATGGCCATTTTCAAAGGGATCCCTTGACCTCTGACCTCAAGATATCTGAATGAAAATGGGTTTATGGATACCCACGAGTCTCCTCTTTGCAGGCATGCCCTCTTTATGCTAATCCCATGCAGTTTAAGAGTGGTATAAATGTAAAACCTGAAAAGTTAAAAACATTCTCGATTAACCAGCTTTTACAAGTAATTTTAAGTAACAAAGACTTAATGTTGTAAACTTTGTTTGTACTTTGATTACAAAATACCTCATAAAAAGAACTTAATTAGTAATGTTTCTGAAGCTTCCAAAACTAAGTTTGTGTCACTTAAAATTTCTAGTAAAAGCTGCTTAATCTGGAGTGTCTCTTACAAAATTGAGTTAGTGTTTCGATGTAATCAGTTTCAACAATTTGTTTTAGTTAAATGATCGTGTTACAGTGTGTAAATGTGTTCAAATGTGTTATTTTCACTGTATTTGAGTATTTCTGCAGACTGGGGTCCATAAGCAGTGTTGGAATTGCAGAAATTGGGAATGACTGGAAAGCCGAGACGCGTACTTCAAGCCACCCCTTCAACGCCCTGGCATGTTTGTATGAAAGGTGCTATATAAATTAAGTTGAGCTGAACAAAAACTGTAAAAAGGACAAATGCTGTAAATGTATTACCACAATGACAAACAGAGCTGGTGCCACAAACGCCCAGATGGCTCCGTTCTTCAGGGAAAGCCAACAGCTGAGAAAAGCAACGACAAAACAAACAAAAAAGAAAAATCATATTTCGTCCCCTTCCAAGTAAAACCTGCTATAATTCTATAATGTCAATATTTAAATGACACATGTAGTTACTGTCAGCCTGAAAGCTTTTTAAAAAGAAAGCTGAGTTTCGAATTTCCTCCACAGGTGATGTCATTCTTGTGCGCTGCCACCGAGCTTTGATGGAATAAAAAACGGATTCCTGCGAGTGCAGCTCATACTTACTTGTCAACCTCGCCGTAACTGTCCAGAGCTGATGTCATGGACACCACACATATCACAAACGGAGAGCCTGATGATAATAAACAAACAAAAGAAAACACATGTTACACACATTCACTAAATATGTCCCACTGTACCCATTGGATTAACCTGCTATTGGGGCATTAAACCCTGTTGTGTTCAAGTACCAGTGCCTGCATAACATACGCACAATGTATTTATGGATAAGTCCAGTTGTTTTAATGGCCCTGTGGTTAACATGCACACTATATACTTCCAACTGCAACACGATCTCTCTGATTCTAGCCAGGGACCCCTCCTCCATCATTTCCTGTCAACTCTCCACTGTACACTTTAAATTAAAGCATACGTTGCCAGGAAATAGAATAAGCACCGAGTTAACGTAAGCAAAAGAAGTATTCAGCACTTGGTTTTGATGCAGGGCTTCATATACACGTCAGGGTGTCACGATCAGGAAGTAATCATATATATTCACATTGTGCTTCTCACCAGAAAATAAAACATATATCAAATATTTTAAATAAGTGGACGTGGCCTCTGGGTCTGAAAAGTGAAGCCTTAAACTGAAATGGAAACTAAATGAACATGCTGTATGGAAGAAGACTGAAACTAGAGATTGAGACCGTAAACTCATCAGGAAACTGTTTACTGAGCTCATAAATCAACTCAGACTCAATACTATGGGGGCTCTTTTTTGCAGACAATGGAGCTGCCCCCCCCCCCCGCTGGTCATTATAAAAGAAAGCAGGTTTAAGACACTACCGCGTTGGTTTTACTTCACAGAACCAGAACCTCTGTCCACTAATAATATACTGTCAATGGTCACGACCTAACACTGCTCCATGGCGCTACTTGTGGTCACAAACTCAACAGGATACCTTTAATCAAAGTACCACAAACACAAATTGACACATGCTAACCCTATAAAGCTTTTACTGCCCCCATCAACACTCATATTTGCCTGGAATCAGCAGGAATCATCTCAAAACAACCTAGTAGACTTAAAAGGCTTCCACCGTAGACCACAGACATACAGGTAACACATTAAATTCCACATAATGTCTTAACATACACCCTTTAAACCCAGTGCTTTTATTTATCTGCCGTGCTGCTAATTGCTAATTTCCCCTGAAAATAACTCATTTTCTTTTTGGCTGGTGCACCGTGCTACGAGGAAACTTTTACTTTAGAGGAGGAGGAAATGAGAGATAAAGCAGTCAACGGGGCTGTATCGTAGCTAATAGCAGCAGCGATTCATTACAAAATGAGCATTTACTTTTTTTTTAATGTATAACAGCTATACTTCTAACTGTCAGACAAGTCTCCAGCACATAATTTGCAGTTGGCCACACAAAATGAAAAATTACTCTGGCCAGAAGAAAGGAAGTAATAAAAAAAAAGGGGGGGATCGTTTTTCCTCTAATGGCTTCAGCATGTGAAGGAGAGACTACGCATTCCTCCGCAGCCAAAGACAGTATACGTATGTCCCGGATTCTTTTTTATCTGTCCATCAAACTCTGCTTCTCTGACATCAGGAGAGGCAATTGTTGTACTGGAATGTAACTCAAAGCAGATTTATTTAACAGGGTCATACTTATTTACAATACTTAACCAGTAAGGTCGCTTAAAAGGTCAAAAATATCAAATCATATTTGCAGTGATGGCACTTGAGGCTGGAGGCAGGACATCAGGGGACAGTGAAAGAAGACATTGTGTGTTCTTGACAAACGAGAAAATGTAATAATGAGACAGTATAGTAATGAGCAGACCTACCCCATCCGATGCCGTAGTAGTAGAAGTGTTTGCTGCCCTCGGAGCCGAACACCTTCACCACCATACTGTAGAGGTGGAGACCCTCCACCAGCATCCAGGCGAAGGCGCTCAGAAAGAAGAAGTGAAGCAGGACAGCCATCACCTTACAAGGCAGCTGGGAGAGAGGGGACAAAATCTGACTTTTAACATCAAAATATTCTCTTTTTCATCATTATTTTGGCATTTTTTATTTTTAAAAAGCGTTTTGATAATCACATTTAGTTGTTTTATGTTCTGTTTTTCACCAGTGGTTTGTTTTTGTTTTGTTTTAGATTAATTTATTCTTGATTTTAATCATTTATTTATTTCACTTTAACTAATTTTATATTGTTACACTGTGCTTCTCTTAACACATATATTTATGATTATTTATATGTTTATGGGGGGATATTTTAATCTGGATCTGGTGCTTAATTCTTCTTCTTCGAATAACGCTCCCACAATCCCACAATAGAAATACAGTACAAACATACAAATACAAGGGGTACATTATTGAAGAAAGTTGGAGAACCACTGGATTTATCTATCATATCACTTTTCTCCTCCTATCCCATGCTTAAGAAAAGATATTATCAAAAAGGTTTTACATTAAAGCTCCATTCTCATATCCTATCAAATCTAAATCAGGAACTACTACTAATAATAATCTTTATTATTAAAACACATCACAGTAAATCACAATACAAACAATAATACATAACATGCACAGTACAGACAGAAACAGATGTGGTTCCACTGTAAGTTATTGCTTTATATTCATCATTCAAACACTCTTTGTATGTATGATATTGATGGTAACCTGTACTGTGTACCCACCGTGCCCGGGTCGAAGCGAGCGCTGATGAGCAGTAAGATCTCAGCCACCAGGATGGCAAAGGACAGGTTGGCGTGGATGTGGTAGCGTTGGTTACGGATGGTGCTGACTGAGCTGCGGAGCAGGAAGAGGACAACATTACATTAACTTATTGTACTCTGATAATAACGACACTTAGTATATCAATAATAAACGCTTTGAATACAGATGATATATTAAACACAGCAGGACTCGACATTAACCTTTCACTTGTCCGTCTAAAAATGACAATCTTGGCAACTATTTAGATCATTTCCAGCTTCACAAATGTGAATATTTGCTGCTTTTCCTTAAATTATTTGAATATTTCTCATTTATTTGTAATAATTTTGAGGTTTTAACTGTTGATTAGATAAAAAAAAAAACACTGTCAAAGTGTCACTTTGGGCATTTCTTACCATTTTCAGCGTTTTTACAAAACAAACAATCAGTGGATTAATGGAGAAAATCATCAGCAGGGATCAATCATTAGTTACAATAGTTTAAAAAGAGCTTCACCTCCAGCAACTACAACAGTAAAATCCTGCTTTTACATTAATGAATGAGTCATAACCATCTAATGATATCATATATAATAATGTAACAGCTTTCTTTGTGACTTTTAGTTTGTCTGGTGGAGCACATAAACGTCTGTATGTGATGAACTGATGATACTCACGACAGAACTGCAAAAGTGACCAGAGTGATGGCGAGACAGATGATGGAAATTGAGCAGCCAACGTAACCGATGGTTGACAGTGCCACCCTGTGGCCGGTGGTGAGCTGTGTATGGAGAGAGAGAGAGAGAGAGAGAGAGAGAGAGAGAGAGAGAGAGAGAGAGAGAGAGAGAGACGTTAGCATTAATGGTCGAGACAACATGTTATTATTATTTTTGCCTGCATGTGCCACCAACGCACACGCAAAGCTTAGTTCAGCCTGTTTCATTCAGCCTGTATCATTAGCCAGGAAATTTAAAGGGGCCCAGTAGAGTTTATGATGATGAACACAATACTGGCTCTCATTAGTGTTTCTCCAGGACTGGGCATACAGTCATAAAGCACCTCCTGTGTAAAATGATAAAACACAGAGGCTGGAATCAAAATGTTTACTACAGTTTCTGACAGGTATTCACATATAATTTGTATTTATCTTACATATTTGAACTCTTTTTGAGGTTAAGTTATGTTTCTCTTGCATGGAGTCTCTTTAAAAGTACAGTCAAATACCTGTTTTTATGATTTCATGATGATTACAGGCTGCGTCTGTCGGGAGTCGGACAGAAAATCACGTTCTTTTTAATCAGACTGTTTTGGAGAGTGTTATCAGGTATGGAATTCCTGCATGGTTTTGGGAACCTTCCTGTGTCATTAAAATCAAAATCAGAGTTTCACATAGTAGCCTAAAAATAAGCAGAGATGTAACCGTAACTGACTGATGTCTCACAGTGTGTGTTTTTAGAGCCTGAGCACTGACCGCTGTGAAGCCCTTTTGAAATGCAAGGAATTATTCTTATTTTCACATTTTTGGAAGCCGCAACATGCTCGAAAACTAATGAAACGCGGCACAAAATTCAACAGTGGCGGGAAGTTAGGAATTATATAGGTCCCACACATGGGTGTGGCAAAGTGGTTCGACAGCGCCCCCTAAACTCAGCCCCTGAGGCACGTTTTTTATGTATGAACAAAGTTTGTTGAATTTAGTGGTCTGTATTTGCACGTGTCGTATTTTGACAAACTCCTCCTAGGGAATTGATCGGATCGACTTCAGATTTGGTCAGTCCAATCTAAACACCATCACGAATAAAAGTTGTGTTTTTTGTGACTGTGTGCCCTCAAACTCCGACGTTTCGCCAACCTGAATACATCTACATGACGACATTCAACAGGAAGCACCATCTACTGGAAACAGGAAGTAAGGCTTGTCTGGCAATCATCATCTGATTGGCGTGAAATTTTCAGGGTGTGTTTGTCTTTGTCTTTGTTTTGGTATTGTATTTCTGTGTACTCCTTAATGTTTTCTGCCACTTATATTGATGTGGTCTAGCCTGAGTCAATGTATTTTTAAGATCTAATTTGTACATTATCCAAGAGGCTTAAGAGTGACAGCGATGTTTCTCAATATGCACATGTCCGTGGTGTACGGCCCTTGTGCATTGATGTTGTTTTGGAGTTCAGGCTATTTTAAGGGGTTTTCGGTTTGATTCTCCATTAACCATCTTCACAAGCGCCTTGTCATTACCAGTGCAGAGGAGTCTCAGCCTTCCAGAAAAGGGATACGTGGGATGTTCCCTTGCAGCTGAGGGATGAGGCAACCCACTAATTAGAGACTGGCTGCGGGAAAGTATAGCATCAAATAGACTTCTGCTCCTTAAATACAGCGCTGGCCCCCTTAGCTGCAATAAGAAGTCTTCTTTTCTATTTAAAGAAGCCATCGTGGATGCTGACCGTACTCTTATGGCACATATTCTTGGATAACAAAGAGTGAGACTGTGGTGGACACACATGGCTCTACATTCAGATACTGTAAATGTAAAAAAAAAAAAGGGAAGAGAGGGGAATGGTTGTTATCCCAGATGTTTTAAAGGGACAGTTTTTGGAGGATGGTTCAAAAGAGGGCAGTTTTTGGTCTCTTGAGAGTCTGTGGTCCTTGAGGAATGGACCACTGACCTGTGCAGTGACCCAAAAGAACCACACTTAATCATGGTTGTCCAGAGTACTTCTCTATAAAACCACCAGTGAAACCGACATTGTGACTGTGTAGGTCTGCTCACAATTGACCTACAGGGAGGAACGATAAGCTGTCCAAATGCTGAAGTGGGGGCGTCTGGTTGGTGGTAAACCGCTGCTTCCTGTCCAATTACCTCCCCACAAATCTTCTTATTTTGTGACAAAGACGCAGAGGAGGGACACTTTTTTTAAAAAACGGCTGGCGCAGAGGGATAAACCTTCCTCTCAAAAGTAGTAGGAGGTTTCTGAAAACGTCCCTAACAAAAGATTAAATTAAAAAAAGCACTGCGGAGAAAAACGTCTTTTCACAGCAGACATTTGGACTTGTCACAGCAGAAAGCGCACAGGTGTTACTAATAACATTAACGATGGCTGTGTGTAAGTGCGAGCCCCTGACGGTTTGACAGTGAGCCATCACGCAAAATACCACAACCAGGGATAAGACTCAAAGATGGCACCCACTGTGTTTCTTTCACTGGATCCGCCTGCACATTGCCGCTTGCCCCATAGATTTTATATTAGGATGGTGTCACACACATGCTTTTAAAGGCTCTGGAGAAGTCCAGTGTCATTTTAATCCCGTAAAATTGCATCCTCAGTCATATTATACCCCTGTTTACCAATGTATGCCAAAAAATTTATAATAACTACATTTCTTTGTGTTTTTATCTATGCAGAAAAACGTCCTATTAATCCACTTAATCCGGATTTATTTGTCCCAGCACAGTTTCATAATGAAATAAAAAGTTTCTTATGTTATTAGCCAGAATCTTGTGTGAATCTTGTGAACCCCTAATATGTATTAAACCTTTAATTTGTATTGAACTATTATTATATGTTGGCAAACGGTGCAACATATGAAAGTCTCACCATTCTTGGGTCTTAATGTGATTACCGAAGAGACGTTTCTGGATCATATTTAACAAATATGTTAGGACCCTCACTATTATTCTGTCTTGTATAAATTAATTTAAAAAAGAAAAAGAAAGATGGATCATAGTCACTAATCCCTGCAGTTGCACCATCACATTTTAGTACACGGTGGAACGGCTGTGTATTATACCGGGTTGGTATTTTTAAAGCAATGAGCGTTCGGAGCAACAGGCATTTGTTTTTGGGGGCTTTGGGACCAATGAGACATTATGCTGAATAATGGGCAGTCCATTTAGAAAACAGCTGCACATCTGACAGATATGGAGCATTAATCAAGCATTAATTTAAAGCAGTGTTTCCGGTAAATCAGCTAAATTAAGTCCAACATTCACCCTGCTTTTAGCTCTGTTTTTAGTCTCCACCGACTCCTGAGCTCTAAATACCCCACTGTGTTCACCAGCTCCTTGCCAAGCGTTGCCTGTCTGCAGTTTGCTGCTTGGGAGGTGGCGTACAATCGGTTTATAAAAGAAAACAACTGTTGCCTTAAAGAGTTGCCAAAATATCATACCTTTATGGGCACCACTTGCATGAGTATGGCAAAGTTGGTGAGGTGGTTGCACAGACACACAGAGTACGTCATGTTTCCATCGGAGCGCACGCATCCTTCATTGGACCATATTCCCTCATTTGAACTGAAAAGGATGACAATTTGGTATTATTTACAGAGGAAATACACTCAAGAGATATATTAATATAATGACTATACAGAAAAAAAGCTTTTTATAGGAGTATTGCTGGCAGGGATCACTCAACATGATCCACTGTGGGAGGCAGGCAGAGAAATTTCTCTGCTGACGGTATCAGGGCAATCTGACAGGGCAATCCAATAATTCACATTTTTTCTTGAGCTTCAGGGCAAAGGGGGAGGAAGGAGAGGAAGCCTTTGAATCCAACTAAAACACACTCCCTTTTAAGATGATTTATGCTTTCTGAATTGTGTTTTGGCTCTATTTATCAGAACACAATTTGAGAGGGCTGTTGCTCAAGATACACTGAGCTGAAACAGCAACACATGTATACGTAACACTGGATGTTTTTGATTTCAGTGAGAAAAGGGGGAAATACACCTTTTTCCAAACCCACTGGTAATTTCCTGAGAGTTAAAACCTTAAAGCCCAGAGCAAAGAGTCGACAATCAAGATAAAATCTCTTTGGCTCTACATCTGAATGAATAATTGAGACATGCTGCATCTGAATCACGAACCCACCTGTAGTCCAAGAAGGCGCAGTAGAGGAAGACTTTATTGCTCTGATTTAGTACTTGCTCTTGCTGTTCTTTAGTCTGAAAAAGAAAAATAGAAATAGACCTTTAATTGCCACCGAGAAAAGTATGTGATATGGGAAAACATTTGCTTTTGGATTGTGCCGGCTCATTAAATCACAAGCTTTGGTGTCCCAGATCTCGGAGCAAAGTGTTCTGAAAAAGCGCTTTGATCAAGAAGACGATGATTAGCGGCGTTCTTTCCTTAATGCTCTTTGGCTTTCTTTCCATCCATATGTTCAACAGAAGCAGTATATCTTGATATATTGAGGCTACAAGTACTGTAAAGTCTGCTTTTGTAGCTAATTTTGCTTCTGAGACTAAATAAAAATGCGTCATTGGTGATTAAAGTCCAGGTAAAATTTCATTTTAACCCTTTAAGATCATATCCTCAGTTATATTGTACCCCTATTTACCAATGTATGCCAAAAAACACACAAAAACTGAATGTATTTGTATTTTCTTTGTATTGTATTGTTTCAAAATCCAATCATTTTGTCTTCCCGTACAACAAAATGTGTCGCGTAATAATGTAAGCACGTTTCTGGAGCCTGGAGCTCACTGATTACTGCACTAAACCACAACTTTATCAGTGATTTGGGTGAAAGTGGATCATGTTTTATGGAGAGAATATTGTCTGGTTTTGCCTTTGACGTCCTCAACTCTGCTAACTGCTTATGTAGCGTGCAACCGAAACGGGGCTCAGCAGCCTCCCAGTGAACACAACCTCTGAGACAGACAGAGGACAGTTTGACGACAGCGGTACCGAGGTGATTTAAAGAGTTTCCAGATTGACTTGTTGCGAAAAGAAGCTAACTGTCGACAGCAGTAATGTTAGATGCTGTTAGCTCGTGCAGCTAATGTTAGCTGACTTGGCCCCGGGGTGGCAGAAGCCAAAACCAGCAATAAAAACACCTCAAAACTTTATTCCCTGTCGTCAAACCGTCCTGCGTTGCCAGAGTCAGCTAATGGGTCCGCTACAGCTGCTGGACTGGGGGGACGTAACTATTGGCTACCACGACAGGTCCCTCCTTCTTTTTTTTTTTTTTTTACAGGAAATACATAAATGTGCAGAAACAGCTGTAAATGCCTACAAAAGAAGACCTGAACTTAAGTGGTGTGAGATCATACCAGGACAGGCGAGAGTCGCTCGGATCGACACTCAGCAAAAGGTGATTATTGCCCTGAGCGAAAATCCCTGCTGTCTTCAAGAGTCTTATTTGATTATAACTCACTTTTTCCGTGTCATTCCTTAATATGAGATTTGGAGTCCCGAGAGACAGTGAGCTAATGGCCACGGTGCAAGAATGCAGTAATTGGGGCTTGGCCCTGGTTTCAGGTCAAACCACTACCCTCCTCAATCTGTCATCTGAAGAAAACAACACTTTCATTGGCTGGTTGGGTGTATACTCAGAGACTGCACACCTCTTCTCCTTCCCCAAGCCTTGACTCTCAGACTGAATAAGTGTATGATTAGATGGACTGTGTCTGCACTGTTTCCTTCTGGAAAAAGTGAGAGCGAGAGTGAAACTGACAGTCAGGCTGTCTGTTTCCTGGCCCATAGGCTCAGTGATTCATATTACAAAGCATAGCACAATACGTTGACTTCATTGTGTAACTGAATCGGTGCTCTCATTCTGTCTGTTTTGCACATGCAGCTCTTTAGTCATTGCGTATTGTGACCCTGGAGATGAATGCGATGGATAGATATTCATGTGGCCCATTAGAGCAGGCAGCACAATTGGGTCCAAGAACCATGAGAGCGCCGTAAATGCAGTCCGTCAACACAAGCCGGCCGCCAGCTTTGAGGAGCTGCAAGCAAACCCCCGTGGGGTGAATTTACTGCTCCCCCATGGGCTTTAATAACTCACATTTCTTGTTGGGTGTAAATGAAAGCAGATGGATGAGAGACAAACTTTAATAGGCACACTGTAAGCCTCGCTTTACAGTGTCACATTTGCTCTCTACAAGCACTGGACCTTTAATGTACCTGTGCAATGAAGGAAGACTAATTATCCACATTAGGCACAAAATGTAAACCCAGGCTCATGGGGAAAAGTCCATCATTATCAAACCCCCACACGCACCAGACACAAGCTAAAATATACATTGACTAACAGACCATCACACAGGTATGTTTGGCGTTGCTTCCTCTCTAGCAACTGTCTGTTGTTGCTCGAGCGTGTGTTTTTCGAGTTGATATTCGAGGAGAGGTGCAGGAACAACGAAAGTCACTGGCAAGTGTTTAAATGCACTCTGAGATTTGGCCGAGCTTTGCGCGCACGCCGTTGTTTCCTCGGTGCCCCGAAGGCCTCAGCCATCGGCCAAACACTGGAGCTGGTGCTCGTCCAGATCTTTATTAACAGCAGAAGGCCAGCAAACACCGCCTTGGAAATCACTTGTAAGGCGAGGAGATGTAGAGAGGAAAGGGAGAGGGAAAGACAGTGACAGGAGAGTGATGCAGAGTGGCACACTGATAAAGGAGAAGATAGAGGATGATAAATCAGAGATAGTCAAGGTGTTTCTGGTTCTTCGATGTTACTAAGTCCCACTTGGTGCAGCTGCCAACCACAGCTGCATCCACAGTGCTTACTTTAACCGCACTCACCCTCCGCTGTAGTGAAAGTGTCAAAAATATTTAACTTTCACCAACAGCTTTTAGTGCTGGAAGTATTGAGATCCTTTACTAAGCCAACAGTAAAGTACGAGTACAACAACATAAAAATCCTAATTAGGTAAAAGTACACAAAGTATTATCAGAACATTGTACTTTTCTGCAGAAAAATTGTCCCTGTGACTGATATTTTATGTGACTTCATTAGATTGTTAGTAGAGATGCATCATTTTAGTCAGTGGTTTCCCTCTAGGGGTCGCCAAAGCTTCAATGGGGGGTCACAAGGCCTTCTTGATTTTAAGGCGTACTAGAAAACACAATAGGCCTATTTCTCAGCGTTTGGTTCACTTCTGTGAAGAAAAGTAAATGCAAATTGTTTACTAGGGAGAAGAAAACTATTAATTAGTCAAATAAGAAGCTTATTGAGCATTTTTGATTGTTAAAATCTTAAAAAAAACTAAACAAAGAATTCACCAAACGGGTAATAATCTACTCAAAATTCATCCAAATCACTCGTTTTACACAAACTTCTTGCAGTTACTTAGTTCACTGTTTGGGTTTATTGTACAGTTTTGAATATAATATGAAATATCACTAAAATATGTCACTGAGTCAGTTTATTAAATGATAGAAAAGGGGTCCCTTAAGGAGAAAGGCTGGGAACAATTCTTATTTTCGGTTGATTATACACTAATAAAAACAAACCTCTGAATATTACATTCCCATTTCTGCCAATAGATCCTCCTGACTGTTACACACTGGAGCTTTAACTGTGATACTAGAGTAAATGTGTACTTTCCACCACTGGCAGTGAGTCCTGGCTGTCATTAACTAGAATTTCAGGCTCAAACAGCTGCAGGGGGATAAAAGCTCACTGTAAATCATGATGCAACTCTCTTGGAAAAGGAGCACACACTTCTTAGCTGCCATGACATATCATCACAAGATACCTGTAATATGATAGCGTTTTACATAATAGATATTTAATGGTATGTTCTGATGGCAGTCGTTTACAGCTGTCACTGGGAACAAGGGGCCTTCAACATCATGTCTGATGTGCATATGCCTCTAACCCAAACCACGCCTCGTTCTTTTTACTGTTTAATGACTGCGTTGAGCCTGCCGGGGAGAATGATGAGGGATGAAAATAAACACTCTCATGCATCACAAAAGCATACATAAGTCGTAGATGACACACAGAACCCGGCAATTTGTATAAATGCGAGTTGCTCTCGTCCTCCGCGGATGTCTTTCAGACCTCCCATGACTGGCAGCGCTGGGAGCTGGGAGCTGGAAGCCTCGCTGTGGTCGAGCTGTAGCTTTTCAGTGTTCGTCTCCGCAAATCCCGAAAGACATTGGGCCAATTTCTGTCTTAGCTTTTGACAGCCGGTTCTCAAGCAAGGCGCTAATAAAGACAAGATGGAGAAATCTTTGCACCACCCATCATCCTTGTTTCAACAGTCAATTGCAAACAGACAGGCCAGTGCCGGTAGGAATACAACCCAAGGACTTGAAGCATACATACACATTACTTATGTCACTTTTGGGGACATTACATAGACTTACATTCATTTCTTGGAGACTTATACCGTAACCACTTGCCTACCCCTAACCCCAGTGGTTCCCAATCCCCTTCTGTCACTGAGTAAACTGTGTTATATTGAAAACTGTACAATGAACCCTAAATAGTAAACAGAAGAAAGAAGTTTGTGTAATATTTTAGCAGATTATTTGCTATTTAGGGAACTTTTTACACAATTCTCCTTCTGTACTATGTATTTATTTCATTTTTAACAATGCTACAGACTTAATAGGCTTCTTTTTGGACAAATTCAGTGTTCTCTTAGATAATTTGCTTTACTTTTTAAGGTTTTCTTACATCCTTTATGATCAAGAAGGCCTTGCGACCCCCCCATGAAGCTTTAGCGACCCCCAGGTTGGGAATTACTGCCTTACCCTAACCCCAACTCTGACCTTAACCACTGACTAAAAAACCCCCAGTTTTTATTCTAACTGAGGACACGGCTTTTGTCCCCAATTAACTGGTAGCCTAGGTCAGATCCACACACACACACACACACACACACACACACACACACACACACACACACACACACACACACACTTGCATACCCCTTACACTACCCGATACCACATTTTCGGTATAATATGCTGCAATAAACCCAATTCAACAGTAGGCTTCTGTCAGCACACTCAAATGGAGATTAAAAAACATCATATTTCAGTTACAGTGGACAATAAAATGAGTTAAATCGGATCAGTTCTAACTGAGGAAGTTTCATGCTTGACCTCTGTGTGGAAATGCTCCTTTTGTTAGCTGTTTCCAGAGCTGTATATGAGCTTGAGAGCATGAGGTGTAGTTGAATGCTACAGAAAGGGCTTGTGA